AAGTTTCTTCATCTGTAAAACAAGAATGGTGATAGCCAGTACTATGGTTCTCAGAGTACTGTAATTACAGTGGAGAATGAATAATAAAAAGCAAACATAAATAGTGCTCTGGCAAGGGCTAGGCACTGATCTAAGCATTCTGCAGATATTGTCTCATTAATTCCTTACAAACAGCCCACAGATTTTTTATTATTACCTTATTTACAGATGAAGAAATCATGGTACAGAGTTCTTGAGTGACTTGCCAAGTCCAGTAGCCAGAGTTTGGCAGACTCACTATTTGAACTCAAACAATGAGTCCACTGTCTGTCTTACAACCATTTTACTTCTTTGATTCTTTTATGGGTGATTTTATTTTAAGTTTGTAAGTAGCAGAGTGCATACGTGTGAAGTATTTAAAACAGTGTCTGGTATTGATTAAGTGCCAGTAAATGCTGTCTGCCGCTCCTTCTCTTTTTTCTACTACAACTCAATAGTGAAGTGTGAGAGAATGAATAGCTGAAGCTGAAGTGCCTTAGATAAATACAACACCTTATATACAAACACACACAGCGTCTTCTCATCAGTATAACTCTCACTGTGTTAGAGAAGTCTCTATCACAGCAGCTTGTTACTGGTCATATTCTGTTTGTTTTGTTTTGTTTTGTTTTTATCTGGTTTATTGTCTGTCTAGCTTACTAGATTATGAACTCCATAAAAGCAGAAAGCTTGTTTCCCTTCTTTCTATTTTACACCCAGTGACTAGCAAAGAGCAGAACACATCATAGGTACTCAGTAAATATTTATAATAAGGAAGGGTGAACATAATAGAAATAAGAAGGGAACAAAACACTTTTTCCCTTTGTCACTTGCAGAGCCTATCACAAAAACATGGAAATGAGAACATATTGCATTATTTTTCTGTAACCATTACAAGGTTACAACTAGGCTCTGGGTGTAAAGACTGTGTGCATGAAAGAATCATACACAGGCATTCTCAGGCCCACTTATAGATACTATTGCCTTTCCTCCCTGGATCTCCTACCCGCTTTGTCTCAAGAGTTGCATAAGAAGGCAAATCTATTTCCTAGAGTTACAGCCAAGATGACCATCAGCACCAGAAGCCTGTGAAAGGCCTTCTATGAGAGATGTCTTGGTTTTGGAGGGAAAATATTTGAATCCAAAGATGAAGTTTTTCTTTCTTCCAAAAGAAATTTATGTTAGTTTATTGTTCAGAGAAGACAAGAGAAGACTGAGACAACAGTGAAAACTAGAAAACATCGTTGAGTGTAAGGAAGTGTCATTAGAGACTGAGGCCAAGATTGTCCACACCTCGTAGTCCCAAATATTAGGAATGGGTGCCAAAGGTGGACAGTAAAGAAGGCCGACAGGAAGAAAATTGATTCATTTGAAATACGGTACTGGAAGAGAGCTCTACAGATAGCCCGGGCTGCAAGAAAGACAAACAAATGGGTCCTAGAGCAAATTAAGCCTGAACTATTGCTGGAGGCAAAATGATAAAACTGAGGCTGTCCTACTTTGGGCCCATCATGGGAAGGCAAGATTCTTTGGAAAAGATAATAATGCTGGGAAAAGTGGAAGGCAGCAGAAAAAGAGGAAGACCAAACATGAGATGGATTGACTCCTTAAAGTAAGCCACAGGCATGAGTCTACAGGAGCTGAGTAGGGCTGTTGAGAACAAGACATTGTGGACATCACTCATTCGTAGGGTTGCCAGGAGAAGGAGCCTACTTCACACCACATAACAACATTGAGCAGAATAATATGCCACCTACTTACTTACCCTTGCAGAATTTATATATCTTATTCCTACTCCGTGAGATAATCCTACCAAGAAATTTTCTTCCCTTTATGTTCTTAGCAAGAATAAGCTATAAGACAGTCTTGCGATGTCTATTTTAATATCTGAAATTAGAAACTAGCTTTCAAGGTTTTGGAACACAGGAATATAATATAAAGGAACATGAAGAGGGTATATAAAGAAGAGAGTGGAAAGCAATGATTTAATAGTGAAAGTTATTTTCTTACATGGAGACTTTTGGAGAAATGGACACAAGAAAGAAGATATAAAAGCTTCTCAAATGTCAGTTTCTTTCTTGGTACTGATTTTCACCTAAAAATGTGTTTGATATCAGATTTGTAAATTGCTTAGGATTGCACACTCTTTAGATGATTGAAAGAGTTGCTATTATTTTATTACATATATAACAAATCAGTATAGGATAATAATGTATTGATGTCCACATGAATACAAGGTAGACAACTGTTCATTTTCTCTGATAGGCATGTGTTTAAAGTTTTAGTCAGTAAAAAGACTGCTGTTTTATTATAGCAAAATTTTAATCTAAATAAATATAAAAATTTAATTCTGAGGGGAAGCAGTGGAATCATGTGAAGAAAAAGGAAGAATGTCAGGGATAAAATGTCAACGAGTTTTCTATGGTGAGAGTAAGAGAAAAGTGGATTGATACGTTGTAAACAAAGACATCACAATTAAACTTTCAATTCTAACCTGAGTCTATTTTTCTATTAAATCAGATGAAATTCTTATTGTCTTTTTAAATTGACTTTGCTCTCATCTTAAAATATTTAATAAAGTAGTAACTCTTTTAATATACATACATGGTCCTTAAATTATATACACTAATGGTTATGCTTTTCTTATGCTACAGAAATTTAGGTTTAGTGATACAAATGATAGCATATAGCGCTGTCACTTCTTAAAATTATAAACAATCAGATATGTTATACCATAAAAATCTTGAAAGAACATGAACGAATATTCAATTAATGTATTGCTTTTTTTTAAGATTTTATTTTTTTCCTTTTTCTCCCCAAAGCCCCCCTGGTACTTAGTTGTATATTCTTCGTTGTGAGTCCTTCTAGTTGTGGCATGTAGGACGCCGCCTCACCGTAGTCTGATGAGCAGAGCCATGTCCGCGCCCAGAATTCGAACCAACGAAACACTGGGCCGCCTGTACCAGAGCGCACAAACTTAACCACTCGGCCACAGGGCCAGCCCTCAACTAATGTAGTTTTACAGTGTTTTCAACTGCCGGCTGCTTTATAGGCTTCTGTTGTTTCTTACATTCAAATTTATTTTTATTTAATTCAAAGCTCCTTTTTTAAATACTTGGGTTCCATGCATTTTTTTGTGATTTTATGAGCCATCCTCTGTGTGCAATATCCTTACTGGATATAACTGTGTACAAACACTCCTTGGTCCACGATCTATATTGTAAACAGAATTTAAACATATCACTCGAAAGGAATGATGGAATTAATTTAAAATACTTCAGATAATTTCAAAAATTAATGTCTGCAGTATAGAAATATCTATGGAAAAGGACTAGATTTATTTTTTTAAATGTCAGAAATAGCACTTGATTTGTGGTACAAAGAAATGAGTTGTGATAAGAGACAAGGCAGAGAATGAAATGAATGACAGTGGTTTTTGTAAAACTAGGTCTCACTTTATAGAATAAATGTACTCTTCAAAATATGGAAAATTATTTTTAAAAATAAAGTATTAGTGTACACATAGCAAAACCCACTTCTAAAAGGAAATGTGTGTGTGTGTGTGTGTGTGTGTGTGTGTGTGCGTGTGAGTTTGTCTGTGTATCTATGCTCAGTGCTTTGCATCTAGTCAGAAAGGGAACACCCAGCTTTTGGAAAAAGCCTATTAAGGCTTTATGTGTATATCCACATCACAAATTCCAAATCCTAGCCTTGAAAATGTTTTTACATGGCTTATATATGAAAGCACTTGTACATTTACATTGACGTAGAAGTAACACACCACCTAGATGGTGAGGATGGTATTGGGAAAGATTCTCATAGAATTTCAATATCTAGATGACAAACTCCACGAGGGTAGGTGTTGTTCTATGTTTTGATCACTGCAATGTCCTAAGCCTCTGGAACACTATGTTGTACATAGTGAGCTCTCAGTAAATGTTTGTTGAATGAATGAATGGACAATTTGTAAATGATCACCCTTCTAATAAGTTTTAGACTATAAAAATGAGAATGTAGCCAGCTGTAAGTTACTTGTCTTTGGCAGGTGGTGGCAAAGCCGAATATGTTGGTTCCTAAGGCAGTAATACTGTCTTTCAATAGATTTTTTTTACTGTTAAATGTTAAACCACTGAGAGGAGTAAACGTTCAACCAAGGTAATTTATTCTAAAACAGAATTTCCAGGCAAACATCTTATATTCTTATACTCTCTATACCTCCCTATTTAAATCATTTCATGATTTACAAATCACTTCTACATGAGGTAGATGAACACGGTAATCATCAATTTTATTTTGAAGGTTTATTTATCCATTCAGTAAACACTTAGCAAGTGCTTTCCTTCAGCAGTATGCTAAGTAGTGAGGATATAATTATGTACACATGGCTGCCATGGTCCCTGTCCCACGGGTATTTCCTCTTGTGAAGAAACAAATAAAAAAACAAACACATACATGAGTGAAATAAATCTGTCTTGTGATAAGTGCTTTATGCAAAATAAATGGAGATTGGAGTTTGGGGACTGAATGAGTCTGTAGTTACAGTGACCAGGGAAAACAATTTTGAGGAGATAACATGTAAGCCGAGATCTGAAGGTTAAGTTTAGCTTAGAAAGGACTTCCTTATTTGGTTAGGACCTAAACTATCTCTAAAGGCAGACATATATACCATTTTGAGGGAAGGTGAGAGAGGATACTATACCTGTGATGTACAAGAATCAGTAGACTTGGAAATGCTTGCATCCGATAGTAAATGCCCCTTTACCAAACTGGAAACTTTCCTATTCTGTCAAGTATTTATTACGAGGCACCCATATGTTTTTATGTTGTTCAACCAGTGTTTAGGATGTTAAAATACCTGCCTAATCTAAAATAAATAAATAGAATTTTGATAATACCCAAACAAATGCAGTATAATTCTATATATTGTTTTGACTATATTTCTATTTTTTATTTGATTTCTTTATCTTATACATGTTTCCCAGGATAGTCCACTGGTCTTACAATCTGACAGGAATGTAACAGTGAATGCAAGAAATCACATGGGGCAGTTAACTGGACAGCTGACAGTAGGTGAGTGCTTTGGGGTAAAGATTGCTGCTACTATCTTACTCCATTTAAAACTCTGTGGTTGTTGAAAATTGGGAAAAGCAAAGTATGTTATTTATCTAATATGTAACTAGACATCCCATTATGGCCCAATTATCTTGCACATCATTTGATTTGTTGTAAGGCTACTTATGGTTTCCTCTATTTGGTACTTATTACTCTTGTCAGTGTGCTATGAGACTGAATTACATGTATTTTGTCATTAGTACTCTTAATTAATAAAATGTACCATTTTCCTAACAAATATCTTTCTTGTATGTGTTAAATTATAGTAAACAGGCTTAAAAAAATGTGAGATATAACATCATGTGGTCTATGTATTTTTTGTTTTAGGCAGCTATTTTTCCAATAAATATTATTATCTGCTATATAAGTTAGAAATGACATAGTTGAATACACTAAATCTTAACATTTATCAATTATGTATAAATTTGATGTTCAAATTATCTATATTTTAAAGTTCCTAGTTTGAAGTTATAAATAGAAATTAATGATAAAATATATTAATGTTTTCTCCTCTTGTCAGAAGATTTTAATTTAGAGACTCATATGGCATAGTGTTATTATTTGACTCAATTTTTATAAGAAGAAAGGCAAATTAAAAGTCAGTTGTAATTATGTAAAATAATACAAATATTTGATTTGTCTGGAATTGCTAAAACTTTTTAGACTGCTGTATTTTTCTGTGTGAAAATTACCTAATACTTACTGATAATTTGTGTGTGTGTGCATGTGTGTGTTTTATATATGTATATGAAAGTATATACAATTTTGAAGACTGAGTTACCCTTATCTTAATGAGCAATTAATCATTATTTTAATGCAAATGCATGTTTTCAGTATTTCTAATTAAATTACACAAGAAAATGACATTTGAAATGTGAGATTTATAAACATGAACTTGATTCTCTCCACTTCCTTTGTAAGTATACAAAACACTTTTTTATATACTCTTCACTTTAATGACGTGTAAGGGAGGAAGAAATATTCCTATACCCTTCTATGCTTCTTCTGGTTTGTCTAAGAATTAACTTAACATAAGACAGAATAATAGGAGAAAAATCAAACAAGTTTAATAACATGTAGACATGGAAGATACCCAGGAAAGCTGAGCAACTTGCCAAAATGGCAGAAGCCACCACCTTAAATACCATCTTCAGCTAAAGACAAAAGAGGATATTGGTGGGGAATGGTTTGGTACTTCAAAGAGGAGGAAGGCAATTCACATTGAGATGAAAAAACTAATGTTTGGTAAACAAATGTTTTCCACACCTTGCTAAGAGAATGGGACATGGAGAGGACTTTGATCAAATGGGCCTTGCTAGGTTCCTCTCTGTTTGCCACACCCAGTTCATATTATACTAGAGTTATCCATGGTGATAACTGCTTCCTGGAACAGACCTTCTATCTAAACTTCTTTTAGGCAGTTAGGGAGAAGGTCAGGTTTCTTCCTGAGTCTTTGGTTCTTAAAAATAATCAAGCCAAGGAAACACATTTTGGAATAGCAAATTCTGCTCCCCTACAGACGCCAAAAGTGAAACTTAGATTGTTACCAAACAAGGTTCATTTTTTCCCATTGCCCAGAAAGCCAAACACCAAGATGACAAGCTTGCAGCAGAGAGAAAGTTTAATCACAAAGCTGCCAAGTGAGGAAAGGGGAGAATGAGTCTCAAATCCTCCTCCCTGAAAATGGGGACTCAGGGATATTTATGGGATGGGGCCAAGGTGGTCTGAAATGTGGAGAGAGATGATTGGAGGTGAGAAGAGGTGAGATAATTGATGATGTGCACAAGGGTAGTCAGACTCCATGTCTCTTCATAGGACCCATGTTCACAAATTGGGGGCATTAGCATGATCTGAGGGTGGAGTTTTTAGAATCTTGACGTCAAAGGGTCACTTATCAGAAATCTGCATGGGCCCAGTTGATGAGTTGGTGGTCTCATCTGGAGTGAAGTGGACAAGGGGTTCTAATTCCTGAAAAACAGCTCAAACACCTATTACCACGGTGACTAAGGATCCAGGGAACTGTTATCTATAGGACCCTAGTGGGAGTCAGATAGCGTATTGCCTAAGCAGCGCAGTTAACAATGGGTGGGTAAATAATCAAAAGCTATAATCAGTAATTGCAGAAAGGAAAAGAAAACTTTAGTTACTAGCTATTTAATCATCAATGGCTAACTGTTTACTAGTTTCAGGCACTCAATTTAAATGATCACACTAATTCACTACTGTTATGTTGGAACTGCAGAAAAAGGCCTAAATTGGGCAGATTTTCCATATCATAATTTTTTTAATGTTGAGAACTCTTTAGCTAGATAGAACTTTACTTTGCATTCTGTTCTTGATTAAAAGAAAAAAAAGAGTTTCTTAGTGGAAATGCTAAAATGTAAATTAAACACACAAAAACTGTATATCAATGTCCACTGTCAAATACAATAGCTGCTAACTACTGCCTGTAAAGCAAAGCAGCTGTTTGATTATATGGTGTGTAGTCAAATACCATTTCCGTTTTGCTGCACAGTTTCCTGTAGGAAATATAAAGAACAATAGTATTGTACCTGTGTTTTCACCCACTGTTCCAAACTGATTTTAATGTAGTGTTAATATTTGCCAATTGAGAAAAAAGAGAGCATTAAAGAAAATTTCAACCTAGTAAATTTGCAAATCTAATTGGCTTTATTTAGTGATTCATGAATCCATGAATCAGACAACATCCCATGTAGTAAGTAGAATATCTGTGCTCCAAGGAACTGTACAAAATGAGAAGTTTTATAGGCAGGAAGGTGAGGCAGGGGGGTTATTAGCAGAAAAAAGAAAGGACTATTTTTAGGCCAGGCCATCTCCTCTTGGGAAAGAAGGGAATGGCTGGGATCTTTATCTTCTGAGGGATGGAGAGGGCCCAGGTGTGACATATTACCTTACTGATGCTTGACCAGAAAATCCCCAACTAGTCAATTAAGATTTCATTTCTGGAAGAGGTTGAAATTGCAATTAGACCAGGTGTTAAATCTAGGTTTGGTATCATAGGTGTTGGCGTGAGTGACGCCATTTTGGGTATGTGGTTTTCTTAACAAGAGAGAAGAAAGAGAAAGAGAAAGGGTAAGGGATAGGGGAAAAAGGTTAAGCTTAGTTTTAAATGAAACAAATCAATAAGTTAATGATACAGCAGCGTATTTCTGTGGATGGAAGTACACTCATTCTAGTGAGGCTTCCTGGTCCTCTGGGTGACTGTGGGTGACCTCCATCTTTTCATTGCTTTGTATTTTTCCATAAACATACAGAGAACAAAGGAAGAAATAGATGAAGGGGAGTGGGGAGGGAATAATGTATTCAAATTTGGAGTCAAATCATATGGGACTCTAAAAAATAATTTCTCTCTTGGAGTCTCAATTTCTCATATCTAAATTAGAGGTAAGGACACTTAGTATGAATTATAAGAATTGGGGCAGCATCAGTGTCTGCAAAGGGTAGGTAATTATATTTTGAATCTGTTATTATTTTGATGATGGTGATTGTAATTTTTGATACCACTTAAGTTACAAATACATTGCTGTTATGTGAGAGATCTCATGATGATTTTCCATCCATTGTGACAGTAGTTGAGAAATGTATGTTGGATTACAATACTATTGCAGAGATATACTACAAAAAACTTCACAAAAAGTGCATCTGATGTGTGGAAAATTTTTGAATCAGGTCAGGATAAAATTATCTTTAGGTAGAATTTTAAGAGATAAGGTGAATTCAAGCAATCTATTCAATCAGCATTCATTTTTAAGGATTTTAATTTTAATGTATTGACGTAAAGTAACTGTTCTAACCCTGTTTTCCTGTTTCTTCTTTTTCTTTTTTTCAGTTTTTGTTTAGGGGGTGTGGTCTTTTTTTTTTTTTTTTGGAAGGGAAGGCTGGCCCTGTGTTAACATCTGTTACCAATCTTCCTTTTTTGTTTTTCTCCGCAAAGCCCCAGTACATAGTTGTATGCCCTAGTTGTCAGTCATTCTGGTTCTTCTACATGGGATGCTGCCACAGCATGGCTGGATGAGCAGCGTGTAGGTCTGTGCCCAGGATCTGAACCAGTGAACCCCAGGCCACGAAGCAGAGTTTGCAAACTTAACCACTTGGCCATGGGGCCAGCCCTAGGGGTGTGGTCTTGATTGTAATATAGCATGATACTATTTTGCAGTATTTAAAAATATACTAGCACAAAATGTAATAATATTTATGAAAAGTTCACTTATTCTTCATTTTATAAGTAAAACAATTGCAATTTCTATCCTAAATCTATCCATTACTATTCGAGAAGTATAGTCAATTCTACCAATGTGACAGACTGAATATTTTCCCACATTTTATTCTCATTATATATGGGAAAAGAAAATCACTCTTATAAGTAGCCACCTGTACCATTTTTTCCAAAATTATATATAACATAGTTCAGCAAAGCAAATATTCATTTCCCTTGTACCCTGCCCGTCTACTTTTGTTTACAAGCTTAGATTCTTACTGATTCTGTTCCCAGGGCTGTATGTAGTCCAAGGCCTGGGCAGACCTGGTATGTTCACTTTAATCCAGACTCCCTCTAAGAAGATGAAACCAGATTATTTTGAACCCTACAGGTGCAAAGAAAATATTTTATACATATGCCAGCTCACACATAATCAAAACTAAATCTAAACATTTTTAGACTTTGGGTAAAAATAATCAACTTGACAAATATTTTTTGTGTGTTTATAAAGTTCTAGGTATCTCCCATGAACCCTGACTGTAATTTTTCATGAGCTTCAATATGTAAAAGGACATTAATGAACTCAAGATATCTTCCTACAAATTTCTCTTCTTAGAATAAAGCTGAAAGAGAGGAACCAGATTGTTTTTGGGAAGGGGTTAAACTACAGCATCCCGAGCCTTTAGGCTCCTTGAACAAACAGCAAGAACCTTCTTAAACAAGTCTCAAAATCACTCTC